CACCTGGGGGCACCTTCACAGGCGAGCTCAGGACCGGGGGAGCCGGCCCCAGCTTCCCTCACCCGGGGTGCAGGCCCAGCCTCCTCCCTCAGACCCGGGGCTCCAGATCCCATGCCTTCCGTCCTGGGAGGCCGTTCTCTGGCCACCCCCAATCTCGGAGGCAGCCCCCAGCACCCCGTTTAACCCCTGCAGACCCTGGCCATCGAGGGCGGTGCCGAGGACCTGGGCCAGGAGGAGGTGGTCCAGCAGTGCATGCGGAACCAGCCGTGGTTGGAGCAGCTCTTCGACTCATTCAGCGACCTGCTGGCCCAAGCACAGGCCCACAGCCGCTGTGGGTGACCCCACCCCCGGGCTACCTCCTCCAAGAACGGAGAATCAATCGGGACAGAACCGTGTCCTCAGGAGCTCGGCCCTGGGCTCGTCGCTGTGCGGGAAGGGGGTGTCCATGCTGCCCCCCAGAGCAGGGTTCAGAGTTCGACTTCCCCTCTCTCAAGCCCTCTCCCCCCTCCCCCTTCCACTGTTGGGTGTACAGAGAAATTATTTATATATATGTATAAATGTCTATTTAGTAACGGTCTCCCTCGCCCCTTGCCCAGCCCCCTCCATGGCCATAGGCCCCCACCTTGTACATATGTATAGGAAAAGTCTATGTATGGTTGCGGGGGGGTGGAGCGGCTTCAGAGAGCTTGGGGATCCCCTCCCCCGAAGCCCACCCCTAGGCCAAGATCCTTGCTAATGGCCATTCCTTCCCCAGGGCATTTGGCATCGGGTGGGAGGGGAAAACGCATCTTGTTAATTATTTTTAATCTTATTTATTGTACATACCTGGGACTGGGGGGGGCTGGGGAGGTAGAGGGGGGAAAAGGGTCCCCTCCCTCTGTCTGTCCCACTCCTTTTCTACGGCGATTTGTCTGTGTCTGTCCCCCTCCCTCGCCCCTTCCCACTGTTGTCTGGATGTGGTTCTATTTTTTAATCGGCCCCCTTTCTGGCCTCCCTCTCCTTCCTGACCCCCTACCCTCCCGGCACCCCTTGTCTCCTGCTTCTTCTTGGGCGTCTCTACAGCTCACCTTGTATACACTGTGTACACAACCAGCCAAACGAAACCCAACGCAACACTTTACCTGCGGACCGGAGTCCTCTGTCCTTCGGCGTGGGGTGGTGGGAACTGGGGACTGGGCTTTTCTAGAGCCCTGGAGGGAGGTGGTCTGAGGTCTAGTGTGGGTTAGGTGTGTTCACTGCCTAACAACCACTGTATCTCAAAACTTACAAACACTGATTATTTTAGTCTTCCCCCCCCCCCCCGATACCAGGGATTGAACTCAGGACCTTGCACTTTCCAGGCAGGTGCTGGGCCACTGAGCTACATCCCTGGCCCAACAGTTTCTTTTTTTCTTTTTTTTTTTTATTCACCCTTGAGACAAGGTCTCCCTATGTAGTTCAAGCTGGCCTTGAACTTGGAGCAATCTTCCTGCCTCGGCCTCCTGAGTGTTGGCATTTCAGGTGTGTGCCACCATGTCTGGATTAGCCTGCACTTCCTCAAGATAAGTTCTGGAGGCTTAGCAGTACTGGCCTCAGATCTGTAAGGGCAAGAATCAGGGTTCCACGTAAATCTCCTGGCTATGGGTTGGAAGCCCCAGTTCCCTGCCCTAGCGCCTCACTGTGGAGTTGCTTGGGTCTCCTCCCACCATGGCTGAGGCCAGGGAGGAAGCCGTGATGTTAGGTCCAAATCTCACTACCATATACCCACTCTTCTGCCACACATTTTTGCTACTGATCATTAAATTTGATTCACACTCGTGGAGAAGGAAGTTACCTCCATTTGTTAAAGGAAGAAAGTATGATTTATTTTTTCAGTAGTAGGAAGTGGTTGAACCCAGAGCCTTCATTCCAAGCTACATCCTCAAACGCACATTGAAGTTGGGTACAGTGGTGCACTCCTGTAATCTCAGCTACTCAGAAGGTTGAGGCAGGAGAATTGCAAGTTTGAGTCCAGCTTGGGCAACAAGTTGCAAGAACTTGTTTCAAAATAATAAATTTTTTAAAAGCTCTAGGGATGTTGCTCAGTGCAAAGGCCCTGGGTTTCATCCCCAGTACTCCCCCAAAAAAGGTCTAACATTTGGAGATGAACTGCCAGTATTGTAGAACCCAGTCTGTGTAGTAGTGAACAGGCCGTGTTCATTCCAGAGCCCTGTGTGATCAGAAGATAGAGATGCAGAGTTTGACTAAGGGTAAACATGAGTGCTCCAGGTTCCCCGCCTGGTGAGGTGGAGGGGGGAAAAAAACTTTTTTTTTCTTTTGAGATGGAATCACTATGGAGCCCAGACTGGTCTTGAACTTGCAGCAGTCCTCCTGCCTCAGCCTCCTGAATGCTGGGCTTACAGGCACAGCCACTACACCTGGCAAGACAAAACTCTTCCAGGACTCCTAAGTGTCCAGATCCTTGCATGCCAGTGTCTTCCAGAGTGCAGCATGGACAGTGGTATTTAGTGGACCTGATTCCTGGAGAATCGCCGAGTTTGGAAATGTGTCCTCGAACTTTGTTCCGTGTGGAGCTGCAGCCCTTCGTGGGGTGAGGCAGCCTGCAGTTTCTGGACATGGCTGTCAATCTGGCCCAAAGGTGCCAGAACTGGCATGGAAGGTAGGCGGGTATCCTCAGTCCAGGAGGACGGTGAGTAGAAAAGACCTGGTTGGCCTTTGGGCCCCAGCTGCCCAAACTTCACCCTGGGCTGTAACACAATCTGTACAACTCAGGTGTGTGCGCCTGTAATTCCAGTGCTTGGGAGGCTGAGGCAGGAGGATCATCTTGAGTTTTGAGTCCAGCCTGGACTACATAGTGAGACCCCATCTCCAAAAGACCACAAACAAAAAGATGGCTAAAGCCAAGGTCATTGAAATTGGGAGAGATTGAGTCATTAGGCTCTCCAGAGCCCCTGCGTGGAGTGGTGTCCCATGGATGTCCTCATCGGCACAAGCATGGGGTTAGGGAGGTGCTAGCCAGGCCACACTGGCCAGCGCACCCTTGTCTCATGAGCTTTGGACTGGCAGGTGCTGTGAACTTCCAGAGATGCCCTGCCAGTTGATGCATAGGCTCCCGTACCTTTCTCAGGGCAAGCAAGAACTTGTCACCATCCCACTGTCTCGGTCCTGCTCCAAGCAGGTGTCCGCAACCTGCAGACCTAGAACCTGACCCCACTGGATGAAACGGACAGACCTGGCCGCCACTTGGCAGGCGCTGCTTGGACCCGCAGGGGCCCTGGGAGGAGCGGAGGCCCAGGACGCTTCATCCTGCTGGGAGCACAGCGCCCCCAGCAGGGGTCAGGTGGAAACACCAGACCTCTTCTGGAAGCTGGTAGAGGCATTGTCCCTTGTCCCCACTCACCCAGCAAGGCGGGTGGAGCAAACGTGTAGCACAATACACCCAGCCACTGTTATTCCCAGGGTGGGAGGTTGAACACGGGCCAAGGGTTCTATGATAATGAAAGCGGAAAGAGATCTTGGCTAATCAGTGTTCCGATCTGGAGCACAGAGGGGCATTCACTGTGCTGGGGCAGGATGGAACAGTCCAACAGTTGGCCCTGGTCGTTGATCCTGTGCCCTGCCCGCCTGCAGCTCCTCTGCCCTCTCCTCAGGGGGACTGGAGGCCTAAGTCCTCCGGCAGAGGGTTCTGGCCTGCTGTGTTGAGTGGTAGGGTTTAAGGAGGGCTGATCACAGCCAGCACTCATGTACGCCTGGAGTCCCAGCACTCAGGAAGCTGAGGCAGGAGGATCACTGTGAGTTTAAGGCCAACTTGGGCTCCATAGTGAGACTGTCAAAAATAAAAATAATAAAAAAACAAGAGTGGCTGGTCAGATGGAATTGTAAGGTAGGCGGTTAGTAGTTTCCAGGCAGGATTTTGATTGGTTTGTTGGTTTTACATGGTGGGTTCAAGGATTCCCAGGACATTGGCCCTTGGTCAGCATGGCCAGAAGTCTCCCCATATCCACAGCCCCAAGTTTGATTCAGGATTGTTTTGGGTTTTTGAGATAGGATCTCACTTTGTAGCTAGCTGATTCTTTTTTTTTTTTTTTTTTTTTTTTTTTCTTTAGCTGGCTGATTTTTGAACTCACTATGTAGCCCAGGCTGACTTCAAACTCACAGTGATCCTCCTGCCTCAGCCTCCCAAATGCTGGGATTACAGGACTGCATCATCAATGTGCCCTGTGGATTCAGGGTTTAGATTGAGAGGCCAGCCCCGTTAGGCACTCTCAGGAGCTGAGAACTTGGCAGGCCCTGCTTGGACACCATTCTACCCATCCTACTCTCCACCAGAGAAGTCTTGCTCAGTGTACATCAGAGGTCAGAGGGGGCAGGCAGGTTTTACTTCACCTGTCTGTCTCCAGGGTCCTAGGACCGTCTGGAAAAGCACTTTCAATGTTGTAGTGGGCCTGTGTACAATGCTAAGATGCTATGGACTGGGAGGCATCCAACTTCATCCCCAATACAATGTCCACCCAAACAGCAAAGGATACACTTGCTTTTTTGAAGGGAATTAGGGATCTGCATGGCTGCTTGAGTTTATTTCCCTGCCCCTTCCTAAGAAATAGATGGATTCTAAATGCTACTACAGTTCTCGAAGGAGTGAGGCTTTAGAGTGTGTACACCCTGAATTCACCCAACGTTTCCCTTTTAAAAACCACCTCCTGAACCTATAATTCTAGCACGTGGGAGGTTGAGGCAGGAGGATCACTTCAAGTTTCAGGCCAGCCTGGGCTACATAATGAGTTCAGGGACTGCTTGAACTACAGAGACCCTGACTCAAAACAAAACAACACTTCCTGAAGTTGGCAGTGACGTTTATGTTTATTCTTCTGAGGAGAGGAGTTATGTACAGCAGTGGCCTAGGAGCCCCTTACCCCACCAGGGGCTTGGGTAACGAAAAGAGGCATTGGCAGAAGGCACATGGTGGTGATGGCCCAGAGGGGCCAGCAAGTCAGGGTAAGGGCGCAGTGTGTCCTGGAAGATCCAGAGGAAGAAACAGGCTCAGCGGGGGCCTCGGGCCACATGGCAGGGTGTGAGGCTGCTGGTCCCTCAAGCTTGTGCTGGTCACGTCCCTGGCCGGCTACAGCAAGATGCATGGGCAGCCTCCGTCCTTCTTCCTGGGGGCACTGGGAGGGCTGGGCGGGAGCTCTTGTTCCTGGTATTTCCTGTGGGAAGAGGCCAGTGACACTGGGCTGGAGGTGCAGGGACAGGAGGGGGAAGAGGACTCACCGGACAGCCCGCACCAGCTGCTCAAAGGCCTCGTCCACGTTGAGGCGCAGTTTGGCTGAGGCCTCAAAGTAGGCCACGTGGTGGGAGGCGCCAAAGCTGGAGGCTTCCGATCGGGGCACCTGGGTGAGGGCCGAGGAGGGGAAGAGTTGGGTTCTTGGGCTGAGTGACCCCAAGAGAAGGGCTTCAGAGGGAAAGTTTCCAAAAGGTTCTGCGGGATGCTGAGAGTACTGACAGCAAACAGATAAGGAATTGGGGACTCCCAGCACTCAGGAGGCTGAGGCAGGAGGATTGCCTTGGGTGTGAGGCCAGCCTGAGCTCCACAGCAAAACTTGTCTCAAACCACCCCCTCAAAAAAAACAGGGATGTTTTCTTTTTTTGTTGTTTTTCCCGGTTCTGGAGCTTGAACTCAGGACCTTGAGCTCGCCAGGCAAGTGCCGCATCACTGAGCAACATCTCAGGCCCTTGTTTGTTTGGTACCAGGGATCAAACTCAGGACCTTGTGCTTGCAAGGCAGGCGCGGTGCCACTGAGCTAGATCCCCAGCTTTGTTTTGTATTTTGGAATGGGGATTAAACCCAGAGTTTTCACACTAAACTACCTCTTCAGGCCTTTGTAAAAAAAAAAATTAAAATTTTTTGAGACAGGGTCTCCCTAAGTCCCTGGTTTGCCTCGGCTGGGTTTTTGACCTCCCTACCTCGGCCTCCCAGATTCCTGGGATTACCAGCACATGCACGGCTGTGCTCAGCTAGGCAGGCCTCTTAGATGTATTGGTTAACGAGGAGTCTGCAGGCCGAAGCAAGGATGTTGGTCTTGGCAGAAGCCAAGTGCAGCCTTCAGGCTGGAAATCCCCAAAGAAGGATTCGCCTGAAAGACGAGGTCTGTGTGGGAGTCATGTCTTTCCTGTGTACAAGGACAAGCAGGGCCAGGGATTTAGCTCAGTGGTTCTGCTGCCTGCCTTCCAAGGGTAAGGACCCGAGTTCAACCCCTGACGCCCCCCCCCATACCAAGAAAAAAAAAAAAAAAAGACAAAGAAGAGAGCATACAAATCCCTGGCAGGATTGGGTGTGGGGAAGCAGTGGGGTTTCCCTGGGCAGGTAGGAGGTGCATCAGGTAGGGGGCACCCCGAACCTGCCGCTGTGTCTCCAGATCTGCCTTGTTCCCAACCAGCACGACTGGGAAGTCATCACGGTCCTTGACTCGGAGGATCTGTGTGAAGAGCTTGCCCACCTCGTTGAAGCTAGGGGAGAGGCCACAGGCTTGAGGTCCTGCCAGCCACTGGGCTGCGCGCCTCTACCCGCCGCGACCCTCACCTTTGCCGGTCGTTAATGGCAAACACCAGCAGGAAGCCGTGGCCTGCACGCATGTACTGCTCCCGCATGGCCCCGAACTCCTCCTGGCCCGCCGTGTCCAGGACTGAGGAGACAGGGGGTGCGGTGGGGGCCAGGCTCCCTCCAGGGAGCCCCACAAGCCCTCAGCACCTGCCAGCCTGTTCCCCGACACTCACTGTCCAGCCGGGCCGGGATGCCATCCACGGTGCAGATCTTCGTGTAGGAGTCCTCAATGGTGGGATCGTAGTCAGACACGAAGTAGGACTGAGGGGGTGTTATTGGAGGATGAAGCCCTGCTCTCTGCTGCCTCGTGCCACCCCCACCCTGTCTCTAGCCACCCCCTCATCTTTCACTTTTTCTTCTTCTTCAGACAGGGTCTCACTGTGTAGCCCAGGCTGGTCTCGAACTCACAGCGGTCCTCCTGCCTTAGCCTGCCAACTGCTGGGATTACTGGCGTGCACCATCAGGCCTAGCTGTCTGTCTCGAAGTCTCTGATCCATTCTTTGGTTTTCTGCACTCTTTCTTTCTCAGTCTTTATTTCCCGCTCTCTGGGTCTCTGTCTCCTTCTCTTTGGATACCTGTCCCCCTACCCCAGTGTCCTCTCTCTGAGGCTCTCCTGGTCCTTTCCTTCCAGATAAAGTACTTCTCCCTTATGATCACATTCTGGCTGTGTGACATTGCACGAAGTCACTTCCCCTGCCTGAGCTCAGTTTTCTCGTTTAGAAAATAATAATAGGTGGGCTGGGGATTTAGCTCATGGTGCCCCACCTGCCTCTCATGCACAAGGTCCTGAGTTCAATCCCCGGTACCAAAAGAAAATAATAATAGGGCCAGAGATGTAGCTCAGTAGGGCCACGCCTGCCTGGCGAGAGCAAGGTCCTGAGTGCAGTCCTTGGTACCAAAAAAAGAAAAGAAGAAGAATAGCACCACACCCACCCAGTGTTTGTGAAATTCTGGGGAACCCCTTACTAAACATTTAACATACCGATGGGCATAGTAAGCACTCAGTTTTTGGGAGCTACTGTCGTCCAGAGCTTCTGGCAGGCTCTATCTTTCCCTCCTCCACTGCCTCCTCCCTCTCTTTCCTCCTCCCCTTCCCCTCCTCCTCCTCTAGGCGGGCTTCAGTGGCTTCTCCTCCCATGGGAAGCTCCCAGTTCCAATCCGGCTGCAAGAGGGCTGCCCCACCCTTGGCCCCGGCCCCTCCCTTCCTGCCCAGTCCAAAGCCTCCTGCCGGGCCTCGGGCCAGTTCTGGGTCAGCCCCTGGGTGCTAGAAGCCCATGGGTGGGGCCTCCTTCCACGGGCAGGGTTCCTGGCTGGCATGTCCTGAGGGGTCTGTGGCCCTGGCAGTGACTTAGGGGCACACACGTGTCTAGGGTTTCTCTGACAAGGGGACTGTTGGGAGAACGGGCTGGAGGTTTCTTGCAGGGGGGTGGGCAGGCAGCATGGGGGACCGACTTTGGACTGGGAGTCTAAAGGCTGCATCCTGCCAGCCAGGTGCTTATGAGCAGACTTGTCCCAGATGTTGAGTGGGCTTGGGCTGGGAGGGAATCAGGGGTACATTCTCAGAACACATCTGGAGAATTTAAGAGGTGAAGATGGGGACCAGCCCTGGATGGCTCAGGGGCACTCAGGAGGCTGCCACAGAATAGTCTTAGAGATCCTGAGATGGCCTTTGTGGGAAACTCCCAAGGAGTCGATCTCTCTGGAGGTATGCAGAATCTGGGGGCTTCTTCCATGGAGGTGATTTGGGGGTTTGCCAGGGTTTCTGAGAGGGGCTCAGGGAGATGGAAGAGAGGAAAACTCAGGATAGAGAAGTGGTTGCTTTTCCTTGTGGGTAAGAAGGGTGTTGAGGGGGTCAGGGTCTCGGGAATTGAACAATCAATCACTAGATCTTGCGGGGCTTGGAGTTTTCTTGAAGGTCAAGGGGGAGGATCTTTTTGAAATTTCTTGGGTGCAAGAGGAAATCCTCAGCCAAGGACTGAACAAAATTTCTAGATTCTCACTAAGAGAGGCTGCCTGAAGGGGCCAAGAATTTCCACTAGGGGGTCGGAAAGGTGCTGGGCACAGCTGTCAGCCAGGTGAGGCTCTGGGTGGCCCAGAGGGGAACTGGGATTGGGGGAAGGTAAGGCTCAGAGGGGAAGAGCTGGTGGATCCTGGAAGCGCTCAGGGTCTGAATGGGACGACTGTTCCGTATTTAGGGTGCTCCCAGAAGGCACTCGGGCCAGGGCTGCCTGGACACGGAGAGACCGCGGGTCTCAGGATGTATTCGGAGGAAGGACCCGCATGCGGGGGTGGAAGCCCTCCCCGAGGCTAGGGCCGACAAAATCAAGGGATCTCTGAAGATCAAAGGACTTCCTAGGAAGGTCTCAGTGAGGGCACAAGGGAAACGGGACTCTCAGGGAT